AGATTTTGGTTTCATCTCTTTCAGAAATAGGAGTAGTAACATGTCCATTGTATATCTAAAGGAACAGTCTGGACTCAGTAAATTTCCACATCCTTAAAATGGAAAATAAGCTATGGGTTTCCTCTCACTACAGAAAGCATTGCTTTGCTTATGCCTCTGTGCTTCTGAATTCCAACCATATTTAACTACTTTGTATAACCTGAAACCAAAAGATTGTTCCATGCTACATTGAGCATGTTTATATTGCCTCTACTTTATGGAAAGTTATTGCAAGCCTACATTCTTCTTTTACTCCTACCATGAAGTCTTTCTTACCTGACCTTTAGAACTATTTTCTCCTTTGTAGTTTTATGGTCTGTACATTACCTATAGCAATTCATGGAAATACCTAAATTCTTCCCTAAAGTTTTTGAGGACTGTATTATCCCAAGGCTTAACCCAGTCCCAGGTAGAAGTGCCAAGTAGATGTGTGATGTTTAGTGACTGAAGGATATCTTTTTTTTCCTTCTTACAGAACTTTCAATAATGTCAGAGCAAATGTGTAACTTTGTTATACCTGATCATTCATCAAATATTTCTCTGGTGTACCTGCTATGTGTTAGGCTGAGGATATACCAGTAAACAAAATATTGTAGCCATTCTCATACATTTTAGATGCAAAATGAGCCCATAAACATTTAATATATCAGGAAGAGGTAACTGGTATAAAATACACACACACACGGCCACCAAATAAAGGACAGAGGTGATGTACAGCTTTATTTATACAGGCTTGTCAAAAATTTCTTAGTGGAAGGCCTTTTCATGTGTTCTGAAAGGATTGAACTAAGAATAATGCACAAATTAAAGAGTAGAATTGGGGAAAGGAGGAATAGAGAATACATAAACTATGAGGTAGAAGCATTCTTAACTTGTCTGATAAACAGCAAAGAGGCTAGTGTTGGCTGGAGGAAGAAAGGAGTGAATGGAAGAGGGCAGGGGATGAAGTTGGAGAGGAAGCAGGAGTCATAGTGTGCTGGAACTGGTCAAACTTGATAAGAAATTTATATTTAATACTCAGTGTGTTGGAAGCCTTTGTGAGTTTTGCATAAAAAGACCTAATACAATGGATCACTATGACTGCTAGGGGGAGAATAGACTGTAGGGGAGCATAGAATAGAAGATAGGGGGACTCCTGGTGGCGCAGGCAGTTGAGCCCCACACTGTGAAGCTGTTCGCGGCCTCTGCAGCACGGGTTCAATCCCGGCCGCTGGTGAGAATCCCACATGGCGAGGCAGACCTCTCCTGTCTCGCCCGCTGCTTCCCTCAGCTGTGTATTTCCTCAGTCTGCCTGTTCTGTTCCCAGCTCTGTCTCTGGTGAATCCTCTCGCCCTCCAGTGCATCTGGCCTGTACCCCAGCTCTTGTATAAATAAATAAATAAATAAATAAATAAATAAATAAATAAATAAATAAACAAATAAATAAATAAATAAAAAGAATAGAAGGTAGGGGACTACATTAGTTTTCTAATTCAGTATTCTTATTTAGAATATGAATTAGTTTGGGAAAGTGAGTGGTTGATTCTTAGAATATCAAGTGCTAGGAAATTTTAGGCAATTATCTTAGAGTGGATATGATTAAATTTATGACCTTAAGTATGATGTCTTTATATTTTCTCCCAAATACTGTATCAGCTGTTGGGGGTGATGAGATACCTGAGATACGATCTCAACAAATTTTAGTTACATTGATGATACACTCTTAACTCAGCAGCCAATTATGTGTGCTTTTGACATAATTTTTTCAGCTGTCTATGATTCACAATTCATTTCTCATGATGTATGAATATAGTGGATTGGAGTCCCCATATTTTATAAAAGTTTTTATAGGTTTTTATAGTGTTCATTTAGCTTTAAGACGTAATGCTTATGGGGCCTCCCTGGTTGCGCAAGGGTTAAGCACAGCACTGTGAAGCTATCTACAGACACTGTAGCACAATTTCGATCCCTGGCCTACCAGGGAACTACCCACATAGCGCAGCAGACCTCTCCTGTTTCTCCCACTGCTCCTCCCAGCAGTGTACTTCACTCAATCTGCCTGTTCTGTTCCCTGCTCTGTCTCTGGTGAATCCTCTCACCCCCTGCATCTCTGGCCTGTACCCCAATTCTTGTATGCATAAATAAATCTTTAAGAAAAAAAAAAGACATAATGCTTACATTTCCATCTGGAAAAAATCAGGATATCATTAAGTTATGCTTTTAGCTAAAATAGTGACTTAGGGTGGCTATATGGGTTTAAAAAAATATTCTGGAATATATTTCAATCAGATTTGGAGATAAGATTAAAAACAATAAATATATTAATGAGTAATATTCAAAAAAATATTTGAAGCTTACCCAAGGAGGAAAAAAAAGGGAATAGTTTATTTTGGAAGAAAATGATGGGATTGAAAGATTACTATAGTAGAGTTTAAGTTAGCAGATCTCAATTCTCCCTAGCAACTGAGAGTGAATTTTCGTTCATCAGTAGAATGGAATAATGCCCATAAAAGAAAAATAAGTGTTAAAGACCATAACACAATGCTTGGCACATAATACATACTCTATTTTGTATTAAATTGTTGTGGAACTAAGGGAATTGAATGTACCTTTACCAACTGTACCAAAATGTGGTGTTGAGAGTTCATTATAGAAAACTGTAAGAAGTTGACACATAAGGTTAGAGAGTTTTTCAGTTGCAAATTATGAGATTGTTTTCCATTGGACTGTTAAATTTTTTGCAAATTTAATCTTGTTTTCCTTGAATATTTTCATGTTTTTGGAGTTGAACTTTGTTTCTGATTTGTCTGTCTCAAATTCATCACTGGATGCTATTGCAGTTTCTGGGTGTTAACTTGACATTGTGAGTGACCTAGTCTGTTCCTGTTTAAAATATTCCTGTTTGCATTAAGAATCTCTGGCCAGTGGTCTCTTCACCCTGAATTAGTTCCTGATCTACATTCCTAGATATTTCCCACCAAATACCTTGCAGACTATGGTGTGTGTATGTAAAGGAAAAATTTATTTCTATTTTCCTCTACTCACGCTTACAACACTTCAAGAGTAATTAATGTGACTGTGAGTCTGACCACTGATATCACTTGTGACAACAGCTGTGTGGATTTTTCCCTTACATAAGCAATTCCTTATTTCTAGCCTGCAACTCAGTCGAATCCAGATACTAACTGGGATTAGCACAGACTCCATAGATTAAGGGCTCAGTCCCATAAGACTGACTCCTGCTTCAGATGTCACTGTCAAGTAGTGAGTCCCCAAGTAACACACATCTTCTATATGACTTGGCTACAGTCAGAAGTCTTCACACCTCCTTCTTTGGAGTCAATCATTTACTAGAACAGCTTACAGAACTCAGGGAAACACCTTTACCAGTAACTCCTGTGTTACTTCTTTAGTAAACCCTTTGAACTCCATCTTTGGGGATTTTTATGGAGTCATCATCATGGATGCATTATTGATTACCAACTTAATCTTATTCTTAGAAGATAGGGAGTAGGCAATAGGAAATTTCCAAGCTTTTAATCATGCCTTAATTTTTCCTGTAACCAGCCTTTCTCCTGAAGCTACAGAAGAACTTGACTCTGGATGACAGTCACCTCATTAAAACAAAACCTGTTACCCAGGAATTCCAAGGGATTTGAACCAGTCAAAGACCAAATATCAAACAAAACAACCTCCCCCTGCTATGTTCCTAGAACCCTTATCTCAGTAAATTATAAGAATTTTGGATCTCTGTGCTAGGAACAGAGAAGGGGGTAGGGAGAGACAAAATTAATATGTATTTTCTACTATTTCTATGTAGATTTCCCTGATCACCACAATTAGAAATATTCTTCTCCCCAAGATTTCATTGTTTTTTTCCCCATTGCTCTGATTCAGCAATTTATTTTATTTTATTTTATTTTTTAAAGATTTATTTATTTTTATACAAGAACCGGGGTACAGGCCAGATGCGTGGGAGGGTGAGAGGATTCACCAGAGACAGTGGGGAACAGAACAGGCAGATACTGAAAACACTGCTGAGGGGAGCAGCGGGCGAGTCAGGAGAGGTCTGCTGTGCCATGTGGTTTGCTCCCTGGCTGGGGATCAAACTTGTGCTGCAGTGGCTGTGGATAGCTTCATAGGTTGTGTCTTAACCACTTGTGCCACCAGGGAGGCCCCTGATTCAGCATTTTAAAAACTTTGCTTTATGATTATTCATATTCATATCTAATAAGACATTGAGGACTTTGACAGAGCAGAAATGGTACTGAACAAGGCTTTTTCAAAATTAGCAGTAGATATATAGTGTATATTCAATGAGTATTTGTTGACTGTATGAATACTCATTTTGTGTGTGTGTGTGTGTGTGTGTGTGCTTGAGTGAATACTTACAATCATAATATTATTGCATTACATTTTTATCATTGATTTCCCAATATCTTTTCTACATTGCACATAGGACAGTTTTCAGTTTAGGGACTCTAGTTATTTGAAGAGGTTGAAATTTTGTCTCTTAGATTCACAGTTGGCTCAAAACCTTGACAGAAAAAAATAGCAATCACATTCCTAAAAAGAGTAACATCAAGTATTCCATTAGCTGCTATTTCATAGTAGTTCACGGTCATATAATATTTTTTAAAAGCCGTGGTGTGCTTCATCCATGAAAGGCTTCTTGTCCTTCCTTCCTTCCTTCCTTCCTTCCTTCCTTCCTTCCTTCCTTCCTTCCTTCCTTCCTTCCTTCCTTCCTTCCTTCCTTCCTTCCTTCCTTCCTTCCCTCCCTCCCTCCCTCCCTCCCTCCCTCCCTCCCTCCCTCCCTCCCTCCCTCCCTCCTTCCTTCCTTCCTTTCTTTTTTTTTTTTTTTGTAAAGAGTTAAGAAACTATTGTATTCTGGAGCTCACTGAACAGGACGTCCTTCCCCCAGCAGGCGTGCGCAGCGGGCAGGGCATGGAAACGTGTCAGAGGGGAGCGGCCTCAGCCCGGGGCTAGAAGTAGGACAGCTCGTCCTGCCGGGTCTCTCTGGTCTGATAGCTGGCCAGGCACCAGGGTTTGTTTTCGTGCGGGAGGCTCTGAAAGACTCGAAGGTGCATGAGCTCTTCTTCCCCACTTGAACCTAGATGAAGAAGTTCCTCCCGGCTACCAGTTGGCTCTTGAACTCCACGGCCTTGAACATGGGGAACGTCTTGTTCTCCTTTCCTTCCAGCTGGGCCTTCACCTGGTCGGCGATGGCCTGGGTCTCGGCTGTGGCGGGCTGCGTGGCGGTGCGCGCGCCGCACATCATCCTGCAGGCGGGGCCGCGGATTCTGGCGCTGGCGGGGCTGAGGCTCTTGTGTTTTCTTATTGGAAGTTTCCTGGCTTATATTCACAAGATTGTATTACCCTGACTGCTAATTCTCCAAATATACCACACAGGCAACAATAGTAATAGGATCATGGTTTGTACTACATTCTGAGTGTGTGCAAAGATATTCTAATTGGAGGACACTACTTTTTCACTTTGAATTTATTAATACTTTTTTTTAACCTACTCAATGTAGTTGTCCAAATATGTCATGAATTTAAATGTTGACTCATGTAATTATTACTGGACCAATACCTGAAATGCTCTCTGAATCGTACTCTTTTTGTCTGTAACCTAGAGATAATAATCCTACCTATCTTACAAGATAGTAGTGAGGACTGTGGTCATATAGCATCAACCAAAAACATAGGGGATGATAATAAATGTTAATAAGATATTGATCAAAAAATGCTGTGAGAGTGGGCCTCCCTGGTGGTGCAAGAGGTTAAAAGGCAACTTGGGAAGCTATCCGCAGCCACTGCAGCACAAATTCAATCCCCGGCCAGGGAGCTACCCACATGGCACAGCAGATATCTCCTATCTTACCTGCTTTTCCCCTTAGCAGTGTATTTCAGTCAGTCAGCCTGTTCTATTCCCCACTCTGTCTCTGGTGAATCCTCTCACCTCCCATACCTCCTGCCTGTACCCCAGTTCTTGTATGCATAAATAAATAAATCTTTAAAAAAATGCTATGAGATTTGAGCCAATGTCTAAATCTAGCCTATTGCCTCGTGTAGAGTGTGCTCTCAGTACAAAGCAGCTGAAATAATAAGGATATTTACAATATTAGAAATAGCAATGATAAAAATGACAGCAACCATAGCTTTATTTTTGTAAGTTTATATTCATTAAAAGTCTCAGAAACCTGGCCTCCCTGGTGGCCTAGGGGTTAAGTCTCACTCAGCACTGTCACCACAATGGCCTGAGTTCCATCCCCAGTGAGGGAGCTGACACACATGGCACAGCAGACCTTTACTGCCTCACCCGCTGCTCCCCTCAGCAGTGTATTTCAGTAGATCTGCCTGTTCTGCTCCCCACTCTGTCTCTGGTGAATTTTCTCCCTCCCCTCCTCCCACACTCCTATTCTTCTATGAAAAGTCTCAGAAACCCAGAACTGACTTCAGCAGTGAATCTTGTTCTCATTGGCTTACATTTTTGTTCAAAATGTAAATGATTGGTTTGCATCTTTTGCCTTTTAAAATAATCTGAAAATTTTCCACTTCTCCTTCTATTTTTCTACTGCCTTCAACTAGGGAACTGTTCTCTCTTTACTTTCATCAAAACACATATGCTTTTCCTCATTTTTACGTTTGTTCTCAAATTGCCAACTGTTCAAATTCTATTCATTGTTAAAGAATTATCTTATGACTCGTCCATTTTGATACAGAATTATAATTATCATGTAAACTAGACCAAATACTTTATAGATTAAGTAACCAAAATCTAGAGACATACTAGAGACATACTACCTACCCAAAATCTCCTGGGTGGTTAGTCACAGTGGAATTAGAACTTATAACTCCATTTTTATTGGACCATGCTGCTTCTTAAGATATACAGGATTGGGCCTCCCGTGGTGGTGCAGGCAATTGAGCGCCGCACTGTGAAGCTGTCCACAGCCTCTGCAGTGTGGGTTCAATCACGGCCACCTGGGCGAGAATCCCACATGGCACAGCAGACCTCTCCTGTCTCTCCCGCTGCTCCCCTCACCAGTGTATTTTGTCAGTCTGCCTGTTCTGCTCCCCACTCTGTCTCTGGTGAATCCTCTCACCCTCCCGTGCGTCTGACCTGTACCCTGGTTCTTGTATAAATAAATAAATAAATCTTAAAAAAAAAAAAGATATACAGGATTTGAAGTCCATGTTTTCAGCATGGATGGCCATGAAGAGGTCTTCCTTCTCTGCACTATTGATAGAAACTTCATTGATTTTATTTTACATTTAGGACTTATTTATAGATTTCCCCCCCCAAGTAGGTCAGTCTTGTCTCTGTAGCAAGATCATGAGTTTCTCTTAATGGGTACAATGTCTTGTACTTTTTTTTCTAAATGCTCAGTATAGTGTTTTGTATTTATATGATGCTTAGTTATTTGCTTGTTGAATTGATTTGAAGTAAATTATAAGAATGTAACACAGCTCCAATAGCTGTACTGAATTTTGCTTAGCTTTCTTGACTTGGTTCTCTGTTTCTTGTGAAATAGTTTATCTTTGAATATTTGCTGAGCAATGAATTTACTCTGGAGAAAACTTGCAGTGAGAATTGCTGAGGTCCTGAATAGTTTCCCAAGGGTAGACTGACAGGTAGTCTTAAGTGTCTTCAAGTTTGCTATTTGTTTCATGGTGCTATTTCCATATTGCCCAATAACATATGACCAAGTACATCTCCTCTTATATAGACATTTTAAGAACACTATCAAACACCAGAAAATTAATGCTTCTGGGCACTGGAAAATATGCATAGATTATGAATCTGTATTAGGAAATTTATTTATTTTTTTTAAAGAATTATTTATTTATTTATTTATACAAGCACTGGGTATAGTCAGAAGCGCGGGAGGGTGAGAGAATTCACCAGAGCCAGAGCAGGGAGCAGAGCAGGCAGAAGGACGGAAGTACACTGCTGCGGGGAGCAGTGGGCGGCAGGAGAGTTCTGCGCGCCATGTGGGACCCTCCTCTGGTGGCCGGGGAGCAGCCGGGGATCGAACTGGTGCTGCAGAGGCTGCGGGCAGCTTCGCAACCCAGCGCTCAAATGCTACGCCACCGGGGAGGTCCTATATTAGGAAAATAATCCAGTCAAAAAATGGGCAGAAGAGCTAAAAAGAAACTTCTCTGAAGAGGAAATGCAAATGGCCAACAGGCATATGAAAAAATGTTCAACATCACTTGTCATCAGGGAAATGCAAATCAAAACTACCATGAGATACCATCTTACACCAGTGAGAATGGCACATATTAAAAAAACTAGCAACAACAAATGCTGGCGAGGGTGTGGAGAAAAAGGAACTCTTCTGCACTGTTGGTGGGAGTGCAAACTGGTCCAACCACTATGGAGAGCTGTGTGGAGATTTCTGGACCTACTAAACATAGAGCTTCCATATGATCCAGCAATTCCACTCCTAGGTATTTACCCAAAGGACACAGAAACATCAATTCCAAAGAACACCTGCACCCCTATGTTTATAGCAGCACTATTTACAATAGCTAAGCTTTGGAAACAGCCCAAATGCCCAAAAATAGATGACTGGATCAAGAAGCTGTGGTACATATACACCATGGAATATTACTCAGCATTCAAAAAAGATAAACACATGCAATTTGCAGCAACATGGATGGCGTTGGAAGGGATCATGCTCATCGAAATAAGCCAAAAAGAAAAAGAAAAATACCGGATGGTCTCACTCAAAGCAGGAATCTAGAAAACTTAAATAAGGGACCAGGAAAATGAATAACTATAAGAAAGTGAAAATCAAAATCAACTAAAAACTATGAACCAGAGACACTTTTTGGGGGGTGGGGGGCGGGAGGGGAGGGATTGGGGTCAGAATGGGGCATGTACAGTTGTATGGGGGAATATAAAAATAAAATTTATTATTTAAAAAAAAGGAAATTTAAATTTAAGTGTGGATTGCATCTTTCTTTTTGCAAACAGATTCATTTGAAAGTTGAAATATTAAAATATTTTTTGAATATTGAAATATTTATTCACTCACTATCAATGCAAGTATTGTGCCAGTTAGTGTCATATACATTATTAATTTGATTCCTATAAAAATTCTGGGACATGAATGATATTCTCCTCATTATATCAATGCTTACATTGAGAAATGGTGAGGCTGTGTGATCTGTTCATAGTCACATAGCCATAAATCAGCATAGCCATAATTTAAATAAAATCTCTTCATGAGTCCAATGCTCTTTCTACTGTTTATACATATTACAAATAAGCTTAAAAATATTTTTGCATTATTTAAAAAATTAAAAAAATATTTCATACATATGGAGACATACATTGAATTTGTACTATCACCACTGCTCTAACTTTGTGAATTTTGACAATTTTCAAAATTAGAAACCTACTCAGTGATACCATTTTGAATATAACTGTAACAAAGGGTAAATGCCATATTTAAGATACTGCAAGATTTTATTTATTTATTTATTTATTTGACAATCTGGTAGGGATAAGCTATACTTTCAAATCTTTGATGATAATTATTTGGTTTAAAAATAAAACATCAAATATACCAGATCCTGTATCATATTATTAATTCTACTACTTTTTTTTAATTGGTTGGATACTATCACTATATATTACTATTATTTATCCTGTTCAATTGCACAGACCCAGAATTCACTAACTAGGTGATTACAAAAATCTTCTCATACCAATGTTTAAAAACAGGGTTTCTAATACTACTAGGAAATTGTATTTAGTGGTGACAAAAGATCTCTACTTATGAACATAATATTTTTATTATTTTAAACTTAATTATGAATGTTTGGGTTTGTTCTCACTGACTGCCTTTGACCACTAAGATGGAATGTCAGACTCAGCGGAGAGAAAAGCCCTTTTAGAAATTCTGCCTTTCGAAACAACATGTTTGGCCCTTGAGGGCATTATGCTAAGTTAAATAAGCCAGTCAAAGAAAGATAACTATATAGAAAAGTCAGACTCCTGGAAACAGTAGGAGAGTGGTTGCCAAGGATCAGGGCATGGGGGAATAGGGAGAAGTTGGTAAAAGAATGCACACTTTTGCTTGTAAAATAAATAAGATCTGTGGGTCAAATTTATAACATGCTGACTATAGTTGTTAACACTTTACAGTTGAAATTTGCTGAGAGCTGATCTTAAATGTTCTCACCAAAAAAAAAAAAAAAGCTGAATATGACATGTAAGGTGATGGATGTGATAGTTTACTCAATGGGGGATGAATCCTTTCA